CTTTTGCAAACAAGTACCACCTGATAGCGAATTGTCAATTTTACATTGCAATTGGTGACAAACAACATTTTTAATGTGCACAACCTTGACGTGCCAATGTTTAAAACCTAATAGAAATTTATAAGTTCAATTAGCATTTGATTAAAAATTAGTGCTCGTAGAGAAAAGGATATCAAAACCAATGTTTTCGAAGCTGCTAGGTGAATTCTAAAAGCCTGTGCTACAAATTGCTTTTCACTGGTAGGATTTCATTTCTTTGCAAACAAAGTTAACTTTCAATTCCAGAGATTCTGGATTCTGATTCAAGATCTTTGGTTTCATTCTTATCATCAGACAAGGCCTTGAGAATTTAATGCCCGTAGAAAAAAAAGATATTAAATCACTTTTGTAATTCATCGTCTTTGCATACGATTGCAATCACTTATATCTAATACGTACGACCAACAATCAATTCAGTTTTATATTCATTGTCTATTACTTAAACACAGCTCCTGTTTTTCCCTTTTTTTTATTTTTTGATATTTTATATGTTTCCCCTCCCGGATAAATTTCTACATGCAATTTGTAGTGTAAAACTAATTTTGCATGTTGGATTCTGAACCAGAAAATGTTACGATGTTGAAGCAAATAGGTCCTCAGCTGATTGCTATGGAAACATGGGATGAGTGCAGCTCTGGATACATGAAAGCTTTCGGATTTGAGTGCTTTTTTTTATAGACTTTCTGTGTTTTGAGTTTCCAGCAGCCATACTCTTCTTGTCCCTTGACAAGAAGATGCTGAAAAAATTCAAATTACGTTTCTATGTAAAGATTTTTCATTGAATATCTCTTCCTTCTGTTTCTTGCTGTTGGTGTAATGTATGCTTTTGTACATACAGAAAAAATTCTCATAAAGTGTTTCATGTTCATGTAATATTTCTATATATTTTTATGCTCAGGATGTTTGACAAATGTTGTTGTCAATTGAACTTCTGTGTACCTGATGGTTTTGTGGGTCTTTTTTTTTTTCCCTTCTGTGTACCTGATGGTTGTTGTTGTTGATATCGTGTTTGTTGTTGTTGATATCGTGTGACAGGTGTTTGTGTATATATAATTTTCAAATGGTTTAGATTTGAAAAGTTCATTTATTTGATTCATATACCCTAGGTTCTGACTACCTCTAGATTTTTCATATGAGGTATCAGTCGTTTATTTCATTTAGTGTTTCTGGCTGATCATGTAGTCACTCTGTAGGAGGATCCGGTTCTTCTAACTCCTGAGGATACAAGACAAAAGCCTTATGTGGCAATTATCAAGGTACTTGCTTTATGAAATCATATTATCACTTTTGTCTATGGATACTATTTTTTATTCTTTTAAACATTTTGCCTTTCACATTGTTCAATGTATTTGCGTGTCATCACTTGAGGCCCAAGTTTCTAAAATTTATAGTAGACCAGAAGTGAAATTCAGGTTGTGATTAGTTGTTCAGATTGTGAAACATGGCTACTTTTTAGTAAGGTGGTGAAAATTTGATATCTTTTTGGTTGAAAACAACTAACTATAGGGGTTTTTATATGATGAAGGTTTCCATGATCGGGTCACCTACTTTTCTTCTAGTAGATGTTGATTTAAGATCACGTTGAGAAAACAACTAAACTATTGGCAGGTGTGCATTTTGTGGCCAAAGGACATGTATAGATATAACAAAGATATAGGGGTTATATATACATAGAGACATTCTCATATACAGGCTAAGGCCTGGTTTGGTACTAAGGTGATTCTAAAAAAAGTTGGTATAAAAAAAAGCCAGGAGCTGTTTTTGTGTTTGGTAAACATTCAGCTTCAGCTTTTTTTCACAGTTTTGGGTGAAAAAAAGCCAAAAACAAGAAGCTGCAAAACCCAGCTTTGAAAAACCAGCTTTTTTTCACATATGTTTTACATAAAAGTTAACCAAACACTATAATACTGCTTTTTTTTTTTTTCAAAAGCACTTTTACAAAAAAGTTTACCAAACACTCTGCTGCTTTATTTCACAGTTGCTTATTCTCACAGCACAGCAGAAGCAACTTTTTTTCAAAGCACATCAATACCAAACCAGCCCTAATTGCGTGGGGATAAGCATGTTGATTACTTCATGTATTGTTATTCACTTTTACCCTGTGATTCACTTTATCCTCACCCTTGACCATTTAAATATATACCTTTTGCTCAAATATTTTGCCTTGAAATTCTTGGCATGGTGGTCAGTGTTCTATTAAGCTTCTTGGTGGGCTTCTTGTTATTGTGAAGTTATGGGCAGCAGATTTGCTTTCTGTTTTTTTCTTTGTAAGCGGTTATTCTCTTTCGTCTCCTTCATATTCACAATGACTTTATCTTTAATTTTCTGACTGCTGGAGCTGGGGATTAATTAGGATATAAGTAGGACCGGAGGTGGGAGCATGATGGTATTAGGACAGTGGCTTTATCGTCCTGAAGAGGTAGAGAAAAAAGCTGGTGGAACTGGCAGTCAACTGATGCAAGGGAGTGGTTTTATAGTTTCCATCGTGATGAGGTTCCTGCAGAATCTGTAATGCATAAATGTTTGGTGCATTTTGTTCCGTTAAACAAACAGCTGCCAAGTCGTAAACAGCATCCTGGCTTCATTGTGCAAAAGGTGTATGACACCCAAGGGAAAAAACTCTGGAAGCTGACAGAGACTATGAAGAGGATAAGCAACATGAGATTAACTTGCTAGTTCAGAAAACTATTAAACTATTGGGAGAACTTCCTGATATAGAGATTGCAGATAACACTGGTTATCAGGATGATCAGTTGAAGACTAAAAGAGGTCAGATTAAAAAGAATATATCACCCCTTGACGTTTCTAGGCTGGAAGAAGCAACTGCTAGGGCTACCCAAAATCAAAAAGCGGAAACACCTGGAAGCTGCTCAACAAGTAACTCAGAATGTCATTCCATTTTAGCCAAGTCCATGGCACTAACTGGAGATACTACGTGACAGATGGATGGAGAAACTTCTTCAAAATATTCGGTACCATGTATGCAACTCTGCTGACACCACGAGCATTGTTGAAAAGAGAAAATCTGGTTCTGATGATATTGATCATGAAGGTGACCATAAGTCGACAGAAGTTGAGAATGGATCTGAGGATAATCTCAAGGTATGCAATTCACCCTCAGTTTGGCAGCTCTATAGTTATCCTTTGGTTTGTTTGACGAAGGGAGTGCACTGGAAATCAGGAGTAGAGTATCTAGAAATGTTATAACTCACTTGTTAACTTTACTGTATTATTCAGAGTGGCAACAAGTCTTTTCTCTGGCCAGAGGATGCTGTTTGTGCAGTTACTTCTCTAGAGAAGGCCTCGCATGAATCCCTCTCCTCTGATTTCCAAAAGTATAACCAGAAGTTGCGGCAACTGGGATTCAATCTCCAGGTCAGAAGGTTCTGTGTGTTTGTATGCTCATGGTCATGCATATGCGTGCAGATAACATATTCTTTAAAAGACCTTCCAACTTTGTTATAAAGAACAATGCATTTTTCCATTAAAAAAAATAATACTATATTTTTTGTTTGTTTGAGGTCCGACCTTCTTTTCTTCTTCAAATGTCTTTTTTCTCTCCTTTTTTAGTTCTTATATTTATTCTCTTCTTGGCAGAAAAATTCGTTCCTAGCCCGTCGTCTGCTAAATCAAGAATTGGAACCTTTAACAATAGTGAACATGTCACCTGGTGAGTTAAAGGTATGGTCTTTTATCATGGCTTGATTTATAGGCGGTTCATTTTGGTGATGATTCTCAAGGAAGATTAATTATTCGATTTTGATCAGATTCAGTTTCCTTTAGCTGCTTTTGGTCTCACTGGACATATTTGTAACATCTCTGCTGACTAATTCTTCCTTTTTAGCCTAACTTACTGTTTGCGAATTTAGGAGGGATGGAAGTATGTATGCCAGCAGCACGAGTAGACACATGTCTCTTATATCTTTGGATGTTGTCCTTTTTTCCCCTTCCTTTCTTTTCATGTCCATGTAAGGTTTTTATCAGAGAAAAGTTTGTTAAGGCTGTTCAACTGGTGGGGGGGAGCATTTACCGAGGAAAGTGAAAGATCATGAATATGTTTGATATTTTGGTGTTTGGGTTGAAATGGGTTATTCATAGAGAATCTGTTGGTACTTTTAGCTTTAGATCCGACTAGTCTTCAAAGCAGATAGCCATAGAGAAATTGGTGGTACTCTTAGCTTTTAGGTTCTGCAAGTTGATTTGTTTTCTTTTAAAATCAAGGAACTTCAATTCCTTTTGTGGAAGCAAAAACATGCTTTGTGAAGAATTTGTCTATAACATGTAAAGAGGTGTAATTTTTCCATGACTGCTCGAATTTTGTCATTAAAGATGACAATTTCCTGGGACGATTTGGTCATCTGAAACAAACTTCTACTTGTTCAAGACAGATAATTTAATGAAAGGTGACCTATTACGGAATAGTGCAGAAATTCATGTAAACTATTTCATTTCTGTTGAATTAAGGCATGTTCGAGTTGGTTTATTCTTTTGTTTTGCATATTTTCAATAAAGTTACATAAGATCTAAAGAGTAACTTTGTGGATGTTTCTATGTGGAATGAATACATTAGTTTCAGGTGAAAGATGTAGAGTCAAGATTGCTTCAGCAGATCTCTAGGTATTTATGCCTTAGCTGAGAGTCTGGGACTAGGCTTACTTGTTCACTTTCTCTCTCATTTTGTATGAAGGTCTCAGTTGAGAATAGAATAAAATGCGTCTGTGTTTCCCTCTGCCCTGGGTTGAGTATGGCCTCTTGACATGATATCTTTTGAGTATCCATGTATGATCAGACAAGATGTAGTTGCAATGGCCAACTCTTGGTGTACGCAAAAGGGATAATACTTGTAGCTTGCTCTTGCTTTCATGGTTTTTATTTCAAGAGGGTTTAACGGCTGATGAAGAGAGCAAAGAAGGAGCCTGATGATTGGGAGCGTATGCAGGATGATTTTATTTGTACCTGTAGTCGGTTTTGAGTACCTTGCACTCTGCAGTATATACGTTCTGTGCTCGTTGATTTCTGCCTGTGAAACAGATGACTGATGCTCGTTGCTCAAGATGCTCGGAGTTCAAAGTGGGAGTTAGGGACATTATTCAAGCAGGAAATAGTGCTCGGTATCAGGTTTGTGCATATAGAGATTAATATATGATGTTCACCAACCAGAGTCTGAAGGCAAGTGGCAATTGCTTTTGCCTCTACATTTTTCTTTTTAAACTGGGATTATACACTGTTAGGAGCATCCAAAATAACGGGTAATGTTTGAGGACTAACTCTGGTGTACAATAGTCCAGGTCCGACGAAAATACCAAAAAGAAAGGATGTCTCTAGTAGTATCGTACCAACCGCGGAGTAGGGGTTAAGTTGAGTAATCTGAAAGTCTCTTACCTACTGTCTAGACTCTATAGGCAAGCATCAACTATGGGTTGGTGGGCATTGATTTGGCAACTCAAAACCACTTTTCCCATTAAATTATAACGTTGGATATCACGTGTGTATCAAAGTCTATGATCAGCTTAATTACACATTGTGATCACTACATCAGTGTTCTATTTGGTTTCTTATGTTGCCTTGTACCGCCCCTAATTTTGCCAAGGCGTTTGGCTTTGCTGGCTACATTCAAAGTTTGAATTGCATACTTTTCAGTCCCTAAACTTTTGATATTAGCTGTATTCTGACTAAAAGTAGGTGCTGATGATGGATGAAAAACGTTTGTACATTATCTCTATCTACCAATTTTTTTTCTGGTTCTGGCAAACTATCATTGAGTTCTCTTTCCAGTATTTGATTTTTTTTCACTAAAAGATGACGTCGCCATGGATGTCTGTAGCCTCATTTGCTTTTCAGTCCCTAAGCTTAATGCATGAACGTTGTTTCAAGGGTACTTTAGATTGTAACGGCTATATCATTTGTTTCCTTCTTGCAAATGGAATTTACTTTCGCATTCATTTTTCAGCTGGAGTGTATTTCCTGTGGTCATTCATGGTATGCCGCCCGGGATGCGGTTTCAATGCTCACAATTGACGCACCCAGTTCTAACAAGAACGTTGGGACGGCTCCTTTGGCCACTGCCAAGTTCGAAGACGTTGAGAAGAAGCTGGTGAGCCCTCGTTGCTCAAGATGCTCGGAGTTCAAAGTGGGAGTTAGGCACATTATTCAAGCAGGAAATCGTGCTCGCTATAAGGTTTGTGCATAAAGAGATTAATATATGATATGGTCACCAGCCAGAGTCTGAAGGCAAGAGGCAATTGCTTTTGCCTCTACATTTTTCTTTTTAAACTGGGATTATACACTGTTGGGAGCATACAAAATAGTTTGAGGACTAAGGGCTGGTTTGGTATTATTGTGCTTTGAAAAAAAAAAAATGTTTCTGCTATGCTGTGAGAATAAGCAGCTATCAAATAAAGCAGTAGAGTATTTTGTAAACTTTTTTGTAAAAGTGCTTTTGAAAAAAAAAAAAAAGCATTATTATAGTGTTTGGTAAATTTTTATGTAAAACAATTATGAAAAAAAACCGGTTTTTCAAAGCTGGGTTTTGCAACTTCTTGTTTTTGGGTTTTTTTCATCCAAAATTATGAAAAAAAACTGAAGCTAATATTTATCAAACACAAAAATAGCTCCCAACTTATTTTAATACCAATTTTTTTCAGAATCAGCTACTCTAAAAGTCTGCTGTGCAATAGTCCAGGTCCGATGAAAATACCAAAAAGAAAAGATGTCTCTGGTAGTATCATACCAACGGCGCAGTCCAACTGTTCGACAAATTCCCCAAAGAGAAAACGCCCCAAAACAAAGCACGCCCTATGGGCAGGAGAGGGGGAGGAGGAGGAGGAGGAGCTAAGAGGGTGCCAAACACTGCATTCACGTCTACCAACAACATATCACTGAGAGAAGAATTGACCGGGAAAAAGCAAACCAAGGGCGGTTCCTCCATCAATGCCAAGGCCGTGCTGAAGCTCGAGCACTTGCAGAGACTCGCTGTGTGGACTGGCACGGAGGCTTCTGTTCCTTCTCTGGGTGCATTCTTTGGGCGCACCTTGGCCGCTGCCCAAGAGGCCATCGCTGTGCCCCCTGAACCTTCTCTCTTCCCTTGCCAGAGGTATGCCAAAAATCTTTAGATTCTTGATTGAAAAACCCCAAAAGAAAAAGAGGGTTTATCGTATTTGAATTTGGTGTGGTTATAAGTGGATTTAATTGCAAATTTAATTGCCTTTTTAGTTCAATTTTGTGGGTTTTGCATGTTGTAGGATTGGTTTTGAAAAAATGGTGGAAGATTTGATTTCCGTTAGGAAGCGATCATGAACTGCTCACTGTTAAGGTGAGATTGTGAACTATTGGTTTCATATGATCATTGTAATATTTTTGTGATTGAAAGTTTGCGCAACTTTTGATTCACTTGCTTGCGTTAATAGTTTTCGGTGTTAATAGGCTTGCATAGTTTGTAGTAGTTAATTTGTCCCTGATACAAAATTAGCTCTTTGAATGTGGCATGACTTAGAGCTGTGGAGAAAAAGAAACAAGAAAACGGGCCTTTCGCTTTAGTCCCATCCAAGTCGTTTGGATTGGATTGCAATAGAAATTTATGAAACCAATGAGATAGATTCGTTCTACCAAAATGAACCAAACCAATCCAGCTATAACAGGACATTATGGACTTGCGTATCTTTATAAGGAGTCTTGAGTTTCGTGGGATTGTGTATCTTCTGTATGATTTCATAATACAGCCTCATATTTAGCTTAACCATACCCGCATTCCACAAAGATAATTGATTGTAATCATGATGCTTACTGAAGTTACATTCTGCCTTGATTAAGCTTTGTACACCATAAAGATGGAACTCTTATTGGTTTGGATAGGTTTGAAACTGTTTGGTATGGCAATGGGGGTAGCGTTTCTGGTCGCGTAGCTAAACGTGTTGGAGTTCTGAAATTCTTAATTGTAACATAGTTATATGGGAACAACATGCATCTAGGATTCACCATCTAAAGTCAGATATATAAACTAAGAAACTTCTAATGGAATGTTAGGCTCGAAAGGTGGAGAGAGAATAGGATTCTGACTCGTCTAACCTGGAAGCCTAGTCAACTACATGTTTGTTTATTTTAATTTTCAGAAAGGTTGTTATTGGTTAACCCATGAATAGATAAAATCCTAACAAAGTTCTCACAAACCGCAATTGCAGGGTTTTCTTTTCTGCCTAACTCGGTTTGCACTGTATATTGTATTGGCATGAAACGTGAATCTGACTGAGGCATGTATCATTTTTTGCTTTACTGATGTTGGCTTGTCCGTTTGTGTAATTATCACACAACACTGACAACACAAATAAAGATATTAGTAAACCTTCGTGTTTTGGATTTTATGTCACCTTGAATGTATGTTTTCAAACAAACTGAAGTGCTTTTGAGATGAGCATAGAGCTTCCCATGACTTTGACTCTGAAATGAGTCAGCCATTACGTTGCATTAAAAAAATTATTGGAATCAATTTGTCCTTGGATGCGTGTAATGTGTGTTGTAGCCTGTAGGTTTTATAATGTTGGACAATATACATTTTCAAATGAATGATACTATAAAGTATATTAAAAGGTACTGACCTGTGATTAGCGTTTCACTAATTTGCAGATGTGAAACAGTTCTTCAGCCTGGCTTCAACTGCACTGTTCGAATTGAGAAAAATAGAGCAAAGGCACGGCAACGAAGTAAGAAACTTATTCATTTCTCTCAAAACAATGTAGTGTATACATGCCACTTCTGTTCACATCGGAATTTGAAGAAAGGGACTTCGAATGGACATATGAAAACGATATGCCCCCCTAAGGCCAAAACAACTTCGAAACTAAACCTCGCTAGGTCCATCTCCAAGAAGTTTGTCAACTCAAAGAAGGCCACTGCAGGCGATGAGGTTAGTAAAGTGGATGAGATAGCTCCTTCCACAGGCGGAGAGATTCCTACAGTCAACATTCCTGCAGGCGAAGACGACGTTAGTCAAGCTAATGAAGTAGCTCCTTCAGCTGGCACAGAGATTCCTAGCGTGGATACACTTGCAACTCCAGCGGTGAAGACTGGAATTACTTTGTTGTTGGGAGGGAAGAAGAGAAGGAGAAACAATTCGGCGACCAAGAAACCAACTGAACCTAAGAGCAGTCCCACCTCAATAGCTGAAAACACAACTAGCACGTCAAACAAACGGAGGAGAAAATCGTGGACTAGTTTGAAGGAGATTGCTAAACATAGTGATTGTAGAATTGTAAGTAATGAGCTGATAAGTAAATAAGAAGTCCTTTAATGTTAATTGTGTATGCACTTAGCCTTCAAAATGACAATGGTAAGGCTCAAATGTGTAAGGCTAAATTAGCCCTGTGTAGTGATCCTAAAAGTTTGCTAGGGTGTGGCTGAGATCAAATGTGTTGTGTTTTGGATCCAGCTAAAGCAAAACGGTTGTAAACAGTGCATGTGTGTGTGCTCATTTCAGTTAGAAGAAATATATATTTCTCTCTGTAACCTCTGCAGAGAAGAAGAACATTCACATTCCTCATTCCTCTTCTTATTGTTATCCTGCATAACGTAGCTAAATACTACACACTAACATAGCCTCAGAGCCAGGTTGGATCAACCGAGTCTAGGTGTGAATCTGTGAGGTCACTGAGCTAAATTGAAGCTCACTCGAAGCTCGGTGAAGGTCGCTGAAGTTTCATTATCATTCAGGCCAAATATGTTTGGATCTGGAAGCTCAGAGGTGAGAAATCCCATTTTTTCCGGTGAGAACTACAAGTTCTAGGGAATTAAGATGGTTACGGTTTTCAAATCTCTTAGGTTATGGAATCTGGTAGAAAACGGGATTACAACCCCCGATTCGAAGAAGAAGAAGAAGAAGAAGGAAACTAAAGAGTCATCGGAAGATGCAGTCGATGAAGAAATAAATGTTGTGTTCATGAAGGACGCGAAGGCTCTAGGAATCATACAAAATGCAGTCTCTGACCAGATCTTCCCTCGAATTGCCAATGTCAATTCAGCTAAGATGGCGTGGGATCTATTGTATGGAGAATACCACGGTGATGATTAGGTTAGATGGGTAAAACTTCAAAATCTTAGACGAGAATTTGAATATGCTAGGATGTGAGATGATGAATCTCTATCTGGTTATCCTACAAGGTTGAATGAATTGATTAATCAGATGAAAACATTCGGTGAATCTCTTTCTAATGAAAGACTTGTACAAAAGGTTATGATTAGTCTAAGTAAACCATATGGTCCTATTTGTTTGATTATAGAAAATACAAAATGTTTGGAGACTGTAGAATTGCAAGAGGTAATTGCAATCTTAAAGAGCCAAGAACAACGGTTTGATTTGCATACTGTTGATACTACTGGGAAGGCATTTACATCTCTCTCAGTGAGTCCAAAAGGACAAAGTGGAGCTCAATCTGGTCCATCTTAGTTCCAGAAGAACTAGAATTCTAAGGGCAAGAAATAGAATTCAAAACCCAAGTTCCAGCAGAAGTTTCATGCTAATCCTGCACAAAATCCACAGTTAATGGGTCAGGCAGTCACAAAACCACAGTGCAGGGCATGCTCTAAATTCCACTTTCGTGAGTGTAGGTATAAGGGAAAGCCTAAATGCTATAACTGTGAAAGGTTTGGACACTAAGCTCGAGAGTGTACTGCAGACAAATCAGTTTAAAAGGCAAATAGTGCTAATCAAATAGAGGTGACAGGAAAATTGTTCTATGCAAATAAGACTATCTCTGAATCAGTTGTCAATGGTGAATGGTATGTTAACAATGGTTGCAGCAACTACATGACTGGAAATAAGCAATTGGGGGTTGATATAAGGACAAATGTAATAGGCAAAGTACAAATGCCAACTGGTGAGCTTATGAATGTAGCTGGAATGGGGACTCTAGTAATTGATACTAGTAAGGGTAGAAAATACATCAAGGAGGTAATGTATCTACCTGGATTGAAGGAGAACTTACTGAGTGTGGGACAGATGGATGAGCATGGGTATTATTTGTTGTCTGGAGGTAAAATGTGCAGCATTTTTTATGGTCCTTCACTGGAATGCCTTGTAATTAAAGTAGAAATGAAGAGGAATAGACGTTATCCTTTAGCATTATTGCCTGATGATCATATAGCTCTCAAAACAAGCTTGTCTCAATCTACTTGGATCTAGCACAAAAGGTTAGGCCATCTGCATCTAAAAGGATTAAAACAACCCAAAGAGAAGGAAACGGTGCATGGACTTCCATACTTAGAAGAAGTTGATGAAGTATGTGAAGGTTGTCAGCTTGGAAAGCAACATAGAAAGTGGTTCCCAAAGAATCAGGCATGGAGAGCAAGCAACCCACTAGAGTTGATTCATGTGGATCTATGTGGACCTATGCAAAATGAATCCATAGCCGGAAACAAGTATTTTATGCTTCTTGTAGATGACTGCATAAGAATGATGTGGGTTTATTTTCTCAAATACAAGTCAAATGCATTGAATTGTTTTAGAAAATTCAAATCTATGGTAGAGTTATAGAGTGGTTTTAAAGTAAAATGCCTGAGAAGTGACAGAAGGGGCGAATTCACATCTTGTGAGTTTAACAAGTTGTGTGAAGATGAAGGTATTCAAAGAAGTCTCTATGGCTTATACTCCACAACAGAATGGAGTTGTAAAGACAAAGAACAGAAATGTAGTTGAAATGGCAAAAGCCATGCTTCATGATAAAGGATTACCTTACTATTTATGGGCAGAATCTGTACACACAGCTGTCTACATACTGAATAGGTGTCCTACAAAAGCACTTGGAGATATAACTCCATTTGAAGTATTCAGTGGTCGAAAACCAGGGATTGCACATCTTAGAATCTTTGGTTGTTTGTGTTATGTACACATATCAAGTGAGTTAAGACAAAAACTAGATGCAAAGAGTGTCAAGGGCATATTTGTAGGTTATGCCACTTATGAAAAGGGGATCCTCTTACTAAGAAACTTGTACTCTCAAGAGATGTTGTGTTTGATGAGAATGCAACCTAGGAGTGGAAGAAGATCTCTGAGAATTATGTAACTATGGTTAATCATGATGAGCTACCTGATATGCCTAAGGGTACATCACTTGGAACAACTCCTAAAGGTCAGAACTATGCCCAAACACCAAGCTTATTATCTTCTCATGAATCAGCAAGTGATGTGAGTAGCAGTATGAGAAAATCTCAAGCTTTTGACCACACTCCATTAAGGTGGAGGAACCTGGATGATGTTCTAGCTCAATGCAATCTCTGCATTGTGGAACCTGAAAAGTTTGATAAGGCAGCTAAGGATGAATCATGGATGATAACTATGAAAGATGAACTGCAAATGATTGAAATAAATGCAACATGGAAGCTAGTGGACAGGCCTACTGATAAACCTATAATTGGGGTTAAGTGGATGTTCAAAACCAAGCTTAATCTTGATGGATCAGTGCAGAAAAATAAAGCAAGGCTAGTAGCCAAAGGATATGCTCAGAAACCAGGTGTTGACTATAATGAGACCTTTGGACCTGTGCCTAGACTTGATACAATTCGAACACTAGTTGCATTGGCAGCACAGAAAAGTTGGAAACTATATCAACTTGATGTCAAGTCTGCTTTTCTGAATGGAGTACTCAAAGAGGAGGTTTATGTAGAACAGCCAGATGGTTTTGTAGTCAAGGAGAGTGAAGACAAAGTGTACAAGCTTCATAAAGCTTTGTATGGCTTAAAATAGGCACCAAGGGCCTAGTATAGTGAAATTGATTCTTATTTCACTCAATGTGGATTTGAGAAAAGTCAAAGTGAGGCCACTCTATACACTAAAACCAGAAGAGAAGCAGAAATCTTAATTGTGTCTCTATATGTAGATGATATTGTGTACACGGGTAATAGTCAACAAATGTTGGAGGAATTCAAGAGAGATATGATGACAAAGTATGAAATGACAGATATGGGGCTCTTGCATCATTTTCTGGGAATGGGAGTCATCCAAACACACACAAGCATTTTTCTTCATCAAAGAAAGTATGTTATATCTTTGTTGGACAAATTTGGCTTGAGTGAGTGTAAATCTGTTGCTACACCTTTGGTTATCACTGAGAAGCTTAGCAAACATGATGGCAGTGGTCCAGCAAATGAAGAACAATATAGGAAAATTGTGGGAAGCCTATTGTATCTCACAGCTACAAGACTTGATGTGATGTATGCAGCTAGTTTATTTGCAAGGTTCATGCACTGTCTTACCAACAAACACTATGGTACAGCCAAAAGGGTTCTCAGGTATATCAAAGGAACACTTGACTATGGCTTGGAGTATGTGAAAGGTAGAAATGCAATTCTAATCGGTTATTTGTGATAGTGATTGGGGTGGTTCAGTTGATGACAATAAAAGCACCACAGGGTATGCTTTCTCCTTTGGTAGTGGAATTTTCTCTTGGGCTTCAATCAAACAAAATTGTGTAGCACTCTCTACTGCTGAAGTAGAGTATATTAGTGCATCAGAGGCAACTGCACAAGCAATTTGGCTTATATTTGTGTTAGAGGACTTTGGTGAATTTCAAACTGAGGCTACTCCACTTCAGTGTGACAATATTGCTGCAACTGCCATCACAAAGAATCCTGTGTTTCATCAAAACACTAAGCATATTAATCGAAGATATCATTTCATCAAGGATGCACTACAAGAAGGAATTATTGATCTTGTTTATTGTCCTACAAATGAGCAGCTAGCAGATATATTCACAAGTCATTGGCTAAGGATCGGTTTTGCTATCTCAGAGATAAACTTGGAGTGAAATCAGCTCAAAACATAAAGGGGAGTGTAGAATTGTAAGTAATGAGCTGATAAGTAAATAAGAAGTCCTTTAATGTTAATTGTGTATGCACTTAGTCTTCAAAATGACAAGTGTAAGGCTCAAATGTGTAAGGCTAAATTAGTCATGTGTAGTGATCCTAAAAGTTTGCTAGATGTGTGGCTGAGATCAAATGTGTTGTGTTTTGGATCCAGCTAAAGCAAAACAGTTGTAAACAGTGCATGTGTGTGTGCTCATTTCAATTAGAAGAAATATATATTTCTCTACAACCTCTACAGAGAAGAAGAACATTCACATTCCACAATCCTCTTCTTATTGTTATCCTACATAACGTAGCTAAATACTACACACTAACAGTGATCACAGTAACATGCGAAAAATCAGTTTGGTTTGGCAATCCCTTTGGATGCCCCAGGAGTGCATAACAATTTTGTAGTTCGGTAGATCAAATTTCGAATGATATGAAATAGCATGTTAGTTCTTTGATTGAAGTAGAAAGGAGTTTACCTAAAATGAAGCCTGCTGCACGATAAGAACCCACTGAATAATTTTACTGAGTTGTTCCAAGTCGACATAAAGCAAAGCAAGACGAAGATAGAAATTTAGGAGTTGTTTGATAATTATTTGTTTTTTCCGTTTTAGTCGGTTTTAGTTTTCAAAGTGAAATGATTTGAAATAGTTTTTGTTTGCTTTTTGTGTAACTTTTATTTAT